ATAAATTATAGTATACTTAAACTATATAGAGCTTATTAACTAATAATATAGTAGCTTTAAGTAGTTATTTAAAAGTAAAGCCTTTTTATAGTATAACGTACTTTACTAGTAAACGCTCTATACTACTAAACGCTCTAAAAATACTAAGCTCTTACTAAATACTACTATCTTAATTATAAAGCTCTCTATAAACGCCTAATTAACTTTAGATAAATTCTAGATATAGCTTACGCTTTAGACTATTTAGTAAAACTTAGAGCTAAGCTTATAACGCGCTATAGCTCTCTATAATATACTATAGAAGAAAGTTCGCCGTTAACACAATAGAGTAACTTAAAGACGCGAAAAGATATCTAATTTAATAAAGCTTACTATAAATAAAGAGTAGGCGATAATTAACTATATACTTAACCTAGACGCGCGAGAATTTACTCTCTAGCTTACTACTATTTAAGATATAGCTAATTAGCTACTTACTAAGTAGAAGAGAAAGGTTATAGATAAGAACTAGCTAAACCGCTTTATTACGCGCTATCTAGAGCTTAAAACACGACTTAATTGTAGGTACAACTATTAGAAAGTAAAGTAAGAAGATTCTATAATTATTTAGGCGTAGTTTAACCTAGTAGGTAATATAAAGGTAAAGTATAGTATTACTAATAAAGACACGTATAATTTTAACGAATCTAGCTTTATAATAGAAATAATATCGCCTTAGGCAATAGTTACTAGCTCTAAGAGATAATCGCGACTAAAGAGCCTTTAACTAGGTAATTATAAGTAGATTTTAGTAATTATAATAGTAAGAGTAGTAGGTAATATATAGGTTCTACTATTTCTTATTATTATTATAAGTAAGAACTACCTCTTAGCGTAGTATAAAGGTAGCTAGCTACTACGTAACTAGGTTATAGCTATCTCTAAAAGTAGCTAGATAATAAATAAAGTTAGTATTACATAGTTAAAGTACTTTAACACGTATACTAAAAGTCGCGTTATAGACGTATATTACCTACTAATTTTAGATAGCTATAAAAGCTATAGCTCTATTAAATTCTAATAGTACTATAAAAAAAATAAAATTATAGCTCTCTATATACTAGTATATTTATTATATCTTCTATAGCTACTTAACGTTAGCTACTTCTTACTATTAAAGGTAGTATATAGCTGCTAAGTTAAGATTCTAATACGTAGCTATATTAACTACGTTATAAAAACTAAGTTTCTACTTACGTTTTACGTAACTTTTTACGCGTTAATTATAGATAATAATATTAGAGTAGAATTTAGAGATACTAGCTTAGTTCTATTTAACCTAGATTTAGTAGTATTAAAGCTTAAAGTTTAATTACGCATGCTAATACTCTCTACTAATAATACTACTACCTAGAAGTATAAAACACCTAGTAATTCTATATTATAAGCTATTCTCTTAACTAAGACTAGAGCTTACTTTTATAAGAGAAGGTAAAAGGTATACTTTAGGCTAGAATCTTTAGTAATAAAGAGGTAGAGGTAATAGTACTATAAATTATAAGTCTCTATAGTAATTTAATAAATAAAGTAATAACTATAAGAAGCTATAAAAGTAAGCTTCTTCTAGTTATATATACGTGCTATCTTAGCTAGATTAGATACTAAGGTCTAGCTTCTATAGATCTCTTAGATTAGGTTCTAATCTATAGATTAGATTCTAATTCTACTAATCTATCTAATCTATACTACGTAACTCTAATTATTTCTATAACTCTATATATAACCTTCTATCTTATAATTCTAGGCTTAGCCTACTATTTTCTCTATTCTAGCTAGCTAACTATATTTCTAATTCTATAATTATAACACTTACCTCTTCTTCTAAAGTATTATTCTAAAGCTCTATTCTATTTCTAGGTGTAGTATTTTATTATTCTACGCTATTTCTCTATAAAAGTAGTACTACCTATAGTTCTATAGTATTATATTCTCTCTTCTCTTCTCTTTCTTACTATACCGCCTATGCGTACTAAGTTTTTAATAGCTTACTACTACTATTACGCTAACCTTATTCTGCGTACTAGCGTTAATATATCTAACAACCTCTATAGCGCCTACTACTTTCGCAACCTGCGTTACGTTATAGAGGTGTTCTCTAGCTACTACTTAGAGTATATTATAAAGAGTTAGTTCTATAATAAGGTACTAGATTAGAAAGAGGTAGAGAAGCTAGATTAGTTAGCGGCTAATTTGCGTTCTTAGTAGTCTAAAGCTAGTCTTAAGGTAGAGCGCCTTGCTAAGACTTAGTAAATAGAGTTAGTTTATCTTTATGCTAAGTTAGACTACCTATATTCTTAGAAGGTATCTCTAAGTAAATTCTAGTAGTCTATAGATACTTATAGCAAGTATCTATAAAAGTAGTTAGAGCTAGTATAGTATTATTACAACGCGCTACTTTTAAAAGATCTAGCTAATATTAAGAAGCTAGAGTAGTTAGAGCGTAAGGTATAGTAACTCTTATAGCCGCAACCTTCTATTTTTCTAGTTAATTCTCTTTAGTTGTTTAACTAGAGTTGTCTAGAGAATTTAGAGTTCTAGTCTCTAGGTTTTAGAGTTAGTACTACTAATAAAACTTCTTAAGTTTCTTAGAGTAGTTTCTAAGGTTCTCTAGTAGTTTCTAGGTATCTTCTTCTAGTAGGTATTCTTTCTATCTAATCTAGTACTTCTACTAACCTTGTATACGCCTTTTATCTAGTATTCTTTTAACTTTAAAGTTCTAGTCTAGTTCTACCTTAGTCTATTTATTAAGTAGTATGTTGTTAGGCGCTAGTTTAAGTTTAGATTTATAGAATATAGAGTATATTCGTATTATTAGTAGTAGTTTTAGCCTAAAGTTAATAGGTCTAAGTTACTTATTAACCTTAAATAGCTCTATTTATAGGTAGTTAAGTTTTTTACTAGGTTATTTAGTGCGTAGATTTTTTTGTAGAATAAAAACTTTATCTCTCTTCTTAAAGGTTAGTCTCTTAATTCTTTTCTTATTTACTTGTTAAGTTATTTTCTCTACTATTTTCTATAGTCTATTATAAATTATTCTTATCTAGTATTTCTTTTTCTCTACTTTTAGAGAGATTATAGCTATATATACTAATAATCTATATATTCTAGTCTTATAGCTATAACACGCTTAGTAGAGAGTTATCTCTATAGTTTCTTATTTTACTATATTGTATACTAGTTATACTATAGATAGTAGCTTAACCTAGTTATTTTATTCTTAGTTAATATAGTTCTATAGGTATTCTTCTAGAGTCTAGTTTATTTATTCTATTTAGCTGTTAGTCTATAGGTAAAAGCTAGTTAATATCTAATTACTTATTTCTATTTAGCTAAGTAACGTATTCTAGAATTTAGACGTAAATAGCTTATCTCTATCTATAGTAACTTGTTCTAGTATCTTATACTAGCTAAATAGCTATTAGCTTACCTTATACGCTAGTTCTTTAGCTTTAAAGATTTTACTAGTTAGGTAGAAGTATGCGTATTTAGTAAATTAGTTTATAATTACTAAGATAGTATTATATTTTCTTTATAACGCGAGTTTAACTAACCTAGGTAGTTTTATAATAAAGTTTATAGTAACGTGTTACTATAGTACTATAGGTAGTTCTAGAAGTTATAGTAACCTATATAGTTAATATCTAGCTACCTTATTTTACTAATATTTTATATATTCTTATACTATTCTTATAACTTTTTTCTTTATTACTAGAAACTTATATTCTTACTATAGTCTTTTAAGAGTACGTTTAATTCTCTAGTATCTATACGTTATAGTACTATAAAATTTCTAGAGAAATTCTATTTATAGGGCTTCTAGTACCTCTCTTTTCTCTTACTTATTAGACAGCTCTAGCTTATTATTCTACTAGTCTTAGATTTCTATAACCTAGCTAATTCGTAAGCTATTATATTCTAGAGTCTTGTCTAGTCTAGCGCAAAGTATAGCCTTATATTTCTCTCTAGCTACTATTATATAGTTAGTTCTTTAGCTAAGTACGTCTACTACTTTATTTTTTAGTACTCTTCTAGTATTAGATTATAAAGTCTAGTGTAGCTAGTATTTCTACCTACCTAACTTATTATCTATTTAGCGTTTTTATTATTATAAACGCTATAAGGTTCTTATAGTCTAATACTACGTTAATAGAGTACTTAGCGTCTTCTAAGTATATTCTCTATTTCTTTATTACTACTATAATAGCTATAAGTTTCTTATTATACACGTTATAGTTAAGTTCTAGTACTAAGAACTTTCTTAAGTAGAAGAAGTATAGTTAGTACTTACTATCTTCTCTAGGTTAGCTAAGGTATACTTCTAGAGCTTAGTCTAATATATCTATCTTAACCTGTATTAGTTTATTTTTATTAAACGTTTATAGTAGTAGTATAATAGTAAACGTTTATTTTAGCGTCTTAAACGCTTATTATTATAGATCTTTCTATCTAAACTCTTAGTTCTTTTTAGTAATCTCTATAAGTAGTATTATAATTTGTAAATATTCTTAGATAAACTTCTAGTAGTAGTTTGTAAATCTTAGAAAGAATTATACTTCTTTTACTATTTA